AATTTACAGTTCAGTGAATTTACTGTTCAGTGAATTTACTGTTCAGTGAATTTACTGTTCAGTGAATTTACTGTTCAGTGAATTTACTGTTCAGTGAATTTACTGTTCAGTGAATTTACTGTTCAGTGAATTTACTGTTCAGTGAATTTACTGTTCAGTGAATTTACTGTTCAGTGAATTTACTGTTCAGTGAATTTACTGTTCTGTGAATTTACTGTTCAGTGAATTTACTGTTCAGTGAATTTACTGTTCAGTGAATTTACTGTTCAGTGAATTTACTGTTCAGTGAATTTACTGTTCAGTGAATTTACTGTTCAGTGAATTTACTGTTCAGTGAATTTACTGTTCAGTGAATTTACTGTTCAGTGAATTTACTGTTCAGTGAATTTACTGTTCAGTGAATTTACAGTTCAGTGAATTTACTGTTCAGTGAATTTACTGTTCAGTGAATTTACTGTTCAGTGAATTTACTGTTCAGTGAATTTACTGTTCAGTGAATTTACTGTTCAGTGAATTTACTGTTCAGTGAATTTACTGTTCAGTGAATTTACTGTTCAGTGAATTTACTGTTCTGTGAATTTACTGTTCAGTGAATTTACTGTTCAGTGAATTTACTGTTCAGTGAATTTACTGTTCAGTGAATTTACTGTTCAGTGAATTTACTGTACAGTGAATTTACTGTTCAGTGAATTTACTGTTCAGTGAATTTACTGTTCAGTGAATTAACTGTTCAGTGAATTTACTGTTCAGTGAATTTACAGTTCAGTGAATTTACTGTTCAGTGAATTTACTGTTCAGTGAATTTCCTGTTCAGTGAATTTCCTGTTCAGTGAATTTACTGTTCAGTGAATTTACTGTTCAGTGAATTTACTGTTCAGTGAATTTACTGTTCAGTGAATTTACTGTTCAGTGAATTTACTGTTCAGTGAATTTACTGTTCAGTGAATTTACTGTTCAGTGAATTTACTGTTCAGTGAATTTACTGTTCAGTGAATTTACTGTTCAGTGAATTTACTGTTCAGTGAATTTACTGTTCAGTGAATTTACAGTTCAGTGAATTTACTGTTCAGTGAATTTACTGTTCAGTGAATTTACTGTTCAGTGAATTTACTGTTCAGTGAATTTACTGTTCAGTGAATTTACAGTTCAGTGAATTTACTGTTCAGTGAATTTACTGTTCAGTGAATTTACTGTTCAGTGAATTTACTGTTCAGTGAATTTCCTGTTCAGTGAATAATAAATAATAAATAAATAAAGTCAATTTTTACAGCACAGCAATATATATCTAAATATCAGATCCTCTGTAATCATAATGTATAAAAAAAGGAGCTTTTCTCTGTGCTGAAGGATGAATCAAGGCAGATCATGGTTCTGTTAGCAGGCCACCCTAGTTATGGACAATACATATATATAAAATAATTAAATAATAATTTTAAAATTGTGTCAATTTACTGTTCAGTGAATTTACTGTTCATGAAAATGGTTATGTTACAGAACAAGATGGTTGTTGTGTCGAAAATAAATACGATGTTCTTAAATCAGAAGTAAAAACGGAGCAGAATGATATTAATGGCATGCCTGGAGGCTTTTTCTGCTCAGTTTGTGGGGATGATATTTTCATTAAACATTTACTGTTCAGTGAATTTACTGTTCAGTGAATTTACTGTTCAGTGAATTTACTGTTCAGTGAATTTCCTGTTCAGTGAATTTACTGTTCAGTGAATTTACTGTTCAGTGAATTTCCTGTTCAGTGAATTTACTGTTCAGTGAATTTACTGTTCAGTGAATTTACTGTTCAGTGAATTTACAGTTCAGTGAATTTACTGTTCAGTGAATTTACTGTTCAGTGAATTTACAGTTCAGTGAATTTACTGTTCAGTGAATTTACTGTTCAGTGAATTTACTGTTCAGTGAATTTATTGTTCAGTGAATTTACTGTTCAATTTAAGCGCAGTAAACTGAGTAAAGACCGAAGAAGAGGATTTAAGAAGCAAAACTGGAGGTTTTCTATGTCCAGCATGTGGTGAACAACTTTTCTATGAGAAGTATTTTATTGAACATGTCACTGTCACGTCATTATCATCCTGACCTACAAGTACTAGAAAAGGATGAGGAAGAAAGTTTGTTCAGTGAATTTACTGTTCAGTGAATTTACTGTTCAGTGAATTTACTGTTCAGTGAATTTACTGTTCAGTGAATTTACTGTTCAGTGAATTTACTGTTCAGTGAATTTACTGTTCAGTGAATTTCCTGTTCAGTGAATTTCCTGTTCAGTGAATTTACTGTCCAGTGAATTTACTGTTCAGTGAATTTACTGTTCAGTGAATTTACTGTTCAGTGAATTTACTGTTCAGTGAATTTACTGTTCAGTGAATTTACTGTTCAGTGAATTTACTGTTCAGTGAATTTACTGTTCAGTGAATTTACTGTTCAGTGAATTTACTGTTCAGTGAATTTACTGTTCAGTGAATTTACTGTTCAGTGAATTTACTGTCCAGTGAATTTACTGTTCAGTGAATTTACAGTTCAGTGAATTTACTGTTCAGTGAATTTACTGTTCAGTGAATTTACTGTTCAGTGAATTTACTGTTCAGTGAATTTACTGTTCAGTGAATTTACTGTTCAGTGAATTTACTGTTCAGTGAATTTCCTGTTCAGTGAATTTACTGTTCAGTGAATTTACTGTTCAGTGAATTTCCTGTTCAGTGAATTTACTGTTCAGTGAATTTACTGTTCATGAAAATGGTTATGTTACAGAACAAGATGGTTGTTGTGTCGAAAATAAATACGATGTTCTTAAATCAGAAGTAAAAACGGAGCAGAATGATATTAATGGCATGCCTGGAGGCTTTTTCTGCTCAGTTTGTGGGGATGATATTTTCATTAAACATATCAGAGATCATGTAGAAAACTCTGGCAAACGAAAAAGACCAAAATGTGTTGAATTTCAAAATGATAGTGTTAATAATAGAAGTCTAGGATCTGGAATAGGAACCGGCCGGATATTCGGCGGAATCCGGATCCGGCCGGATATTATCCGGTTCCGGCTCCCCTATGCAAAGGGGAGGCCCGCCTTCCGGGATCGCATTACCAGGGGGAAGTCTCGAGTCCAAAATTGTGTATCGAGGGCTGGGTGCGGACTTCGAAAAACAGAACAAAATATTTTCGGCTATTAATGAACAGGGTAGCATGAAACGTGGTAAATATGAAACGTGGAGAAAAGTAGTTTTTAGAAAAACTTTGAAAGCATTTTGACTCAAAAAATTTTCGGTCCGAGTCATTCTCGATATGTTCCTCCCGTGTCTAGAGCTCCCGCTTCCGAGCTAGTGTTGCAAAGGGGAGGCCTGCCTTCCGAGATCGTATTACCAGGGGGAAGCCTCGAGTTCAAAATTGTGTATCGAGGGGTGGGTGCGGACTTCGAAAAAACGAACAAAATATTTTCGGCTATTAATGAACAGGGTAGCATGAAACGTGGTAAATATGAAACGTGGAGAAAAGTAGTTTTTAGAAAAACTTTGAAAGCATTTTGACTCAAAAAATTTTCGGTCCGAGTCATTCTCGATATGTTCCTCCCGTGTCTAGAGCTCCCGCTTCCGAGCTGGTGTTGCAAAGGGGAGGCCTGCCTTCCGAGATCGTATTACCAGGGGGAAGCCTCGAGTTCAAAATTGTGTATCGAGGGGTGGGTGCGGACTTCGAAAAAATATTTTCGGCTAGTAATGAACAGGGTAGCATGAAACGTGGAGAAAAGTAATTTTAGAAAAAATTTGAATGAATTTTGACTAAAAAATTTTCGGTCCGATGTGTACTTGTCGTATCGAGAGCTCCCACTTCCGAGCTAGTGTTGCAATGGGGAGGCCTGCCTTCCGAGATCGCATTACCAGGGGAAATCCTCGACTTCAAAATTGTGTATCGAGGGGTGGGTGCGGACTTCGAACAAATATTTTCGGCTAGTTATGAACAGGGTAGCATGAAACGTGGAGAAAAGTAGTTTTTAGAAAAAATTTGAAAGAATTTTGACTTACAAATTTCCGGTCCGAGTCGTTCTCGATATGTACCTCCCGTGTCGAGAGCTCCCGCTTCCGAGCTAGTGTTGCAAAGGAGAGGCCTGCCTTCCGATATCGCATTACCAGGGGGAAGCCTCGAGTTCAAAATTATGTATCGAGGGGTGGGTGCAGACTTGGAAAACCGAAAAAATGTTTTCGGCTAATAATGAGTGTTCAATTGTTTCTTTAAATCCTCCTAATTAGAGTGATAACACCAGGTCAAAACTAAAACTAGAAGGTATAAAGGTATTAAAGTCACAATAGTGACTTTAATATATACTCATCGAAAAAATGGTACTGAATAAGTCGAATAAGAATATCTTTAAGGGCAATTTTTTCCTTATTTAGGAATCTACCCTCTCCTCCTTTTAAAGGGCACTAGTGCTTAGATCTATGTAGTATGTATTTTGATAGAAAATTTAATTTCTTTGCTATATAATTAAGACTTGTTCTGATGTTGATCTGTTCAAAACATTATTAAAAACTCACCTGTTTAAGAAAAGTTATGGCATGAGCGATTAATTGACAGTATAACTTTATGTTATTTGCTTAAACTGTTTAGGATGCAACCTTATGTCATGATCTTTTTGAACTTATTAGCAATCAGACTGATAGCTCGTTTCATAAGCATGTCATCTTCGTTCCAAAACTTTGTAAGTCCTATGCATACACTCCTTGATAGTATCTTTGTTTCACACAATAGAGCATAAGTTTTGTGGTTTATCCACTGGGCTTAGAGTTTGTGTTTAAGCTACCAAATTTTATTATTATTTATTATTATTCACTGGATTAAAACTGTTTTTCGATATGATTTTACAATTTTATATAATCTCTTTTGCTATAATCATTCTTAATGATTCGTACATTTTATTAACCAATAGCATCTTTTCTTCTATTGCAAATCATGTACTCTACATATTATTAACCTATTTACCCCTTATTTTAAATGATAGTATGGCAGACTTGAACGATAAATTGAAGAATGCAGGATTTATCAATCGCACCCTACGTGAACACCAAGAAGAGGGACTGATCTGGCTTTGTAACTGCTTTAAAAATCAAAATGGATGTGTTTTGGCTGATGAAATGGGTTTGGGTAAGACAACACAGTCACTGGCATTTCTCTGTATCAAAGCTAATTCAGGAGTTCCTTCACTAGTTGTTGCTCCTCTTTCTGTTTTAAATAATTGGTCGACTGAGCTCAGCAGTTTTTTACCTAAATATACAGTTCTCAAGTATTATGGAGATGCAGAGACGAGGACCACGTTGCAGAAAGACACTTGTGATATCATGATAACTACATATGAGATGCTTCTGAAAGACAGTGATTTCTTTGGCAGGAAAGTATGGAATATAGTGATTGTTGATGAGGGTCATAGGTTAAAAAACTCAGAGGGTCAAACGAATATAAAACTGAGAGAGTTGAGGTGCTCATTTAGGTTGATTCTGTCAGGGACCCCAGTGCAGAATAATATTAAGGAGCTTTACACACTTCTAAGTTTCGTTGACGATGAAGCTTTTCCCCTGAAGGATTTATCCGATTTTTGCAGTAGATATGAACAAGAAAAGTTTCACAGTGAACTACATGAGCTGCTGCGACCCTATCTACTGCGTAGAACAAAAAATCAGGTACTTGATAAGCTTCCACCATCTCAAGAAAGTATAATTTATTGTGAACTTTCTGACCTTCAGAAGAACGTTTATAAAGGTGTCCTGGCAAAAGATGAGTCTGTCATTGATATTAATAGGAACAAGTCAATACTACAAAATACCATCATGCAATTGAGGAAATGTTCCAATCATCCATACATGTTCAATGGAGTTGAACCTGAGCCATTTTGTATGGGAGAACATCTTGTTGAAGCAAGTGGCAAGTTGAACACTTTGGACAAGATTCTCAAGTACTGTCAGTCCAACCATCACAGGGTTTTGATATTTTCTCAGTTTACTTTGTTATTGGACATCCTCCAAGACTATTGCCATTACCGTAGTTTCAGTTACGAGCGACTTGATGGTTCAGTGAGAGATCAGGAGCGGTACAATTCAATTAACAACTTTAGTCAGAATGATGTGTTTTGTTTCTGCTGTCTACGAAGGCAGGTGGTGTTGGACTCAATCTAACTGCTGCTGATACTGTAATATTCTTTGATACTGATTGGAATCCCCAAAATGATTTGCAGGCAGCTGCTCGTGCTCATAGAATGGGCCAGACCAAACCAGTCAAAATTATTAGACTTGTCTCCAGGAATACTGTTGATGAGTATATGCTGAAAAAGATGGAGTCAAAGCTAAAACTGACTACACGTGTCATCACTGAAGGAGGATTTTCTTCGTTTGATATTGCTCCAGAAGATTCCAAAACTCTTTCTGACATGCTTCTGTTCGGGTTAAGCAGTCTTCTTGAAGACAAAGAAGATACTACTGATGATATTGAGGTTGTTTTAGGTGGGACAGACTCCAATGGTAACTGGGACTTCGATAAAAATGAGGATAACGCAAATACAAATGGTCAAATTGGTGGAGACGTTGATGACTACTATGATTTTGAAGGCACTAATTACCGAGAGAAGAAAGTAAAAGATCGACAAACGTTTGATGAAATTATAAAAGAGAATGTTTCTTCTGTTCCTGCTGTAAGTAACAATTTGACATCTGTAAGGTCCAGGAAAACGGTCAACATGAGTGAAGCAGATCTGAAAGAGAATGAAAAACTTCTTGAGAAGCAGCACAAAGCAGCCCAAGAGCAGAGAAAAGCTAAGAGAGATGCGAAAAAGAAAGAAACATGGGATGAAGTCGGTTACATTTCCACAGCGTTACCCACCAGTACTTTACCCAGTAATCTGTTTAGTTCTCTGGATGTGGAGTACGTGGTAGGAGACGTTACTTCATCTAATAAAACAGGCATTGTTATACACTGCACGGACAGTAGTGGTGATTGGGGCACTGGTGGGCTTTTTACAGCACTAACTCGGAAATCTCAAAATCCACAAAAGTGCTATGAGCTTGCTAAGGATATGGATGATTTACGTTTAGGTCAGTGCCATGTCGTGGATTATTTTCCTGATTTAGCTGTCGCTCTTCTCGTTTGTATCAGGAGAGGTTCCTCTTCGATGAAGCTCGATTTGAAGTGCTTGGGAGAGGCGCTAACATCACTCGGTAGTTACTCTGAACAGAAGAATATAACTGTTCATATGCCGAGGGTTGGTTTCTCAGTTGAAGATTGGTATGGGGCAGAACGTCTGCTCAGGAAATGTCTTCTCTCTCAAAACATACCTACTTTTGTTTATTATTTCTCAAAACGATCCTCCAATCAAACATCATCCCGTCAGAATGTAACATCTTCAAAAGCTGGGGCATCTCGTTCGTCATCCAGCCCGTTACATAAACCTGCTAAGAAACAAAAGAAATCTCTGTCAAATTCTTACACTAACAAAATCGTCTATTTGGATCCTGAACTTAGTCCGAGTGAGCAGGAAGTCCTTAAAAGACATATTGTAGCAGCAAATGGAGATATACAGACTTTTCTCGGTGATAACGTTACACATATCCTATCATATGACAAAGAGCTCAAGACTGATGATGACTGCAAGGCTGTCATTATCAATCCGTATCAGTTTGTAAGAACACTGTCATCTGTTGATTTGTAATGAGTCGTGTTGACATGTGAAACGTGTATTTGTTTTGTTAAGAAGAAGTTGAGTCAAATTCATAGCGTTCAATTATTTTCACTTAATTTTAAAGTCTATTTTCCACCTTATTACTTTAGCACATGGTATTTGTAATGTTTAAATGTACGATGTAGATTTGTTGTATCATTCAATTTTTAACTTTTAACAATAAGCCAGTAATTAAATAATATTCTATTATGTTTGATCAGTTGTTTACATTATTATTTATGATTTTGTATTATCCGTAAATTTTTATCTTCCCTCCAATAAATATTGAGCGGCATAAATTTGTGCCTGACGTTTTCTTTGGCTATCACGTCATACTGGTTACACTTCAGTTTTGGTAAGTTTTACCGTGTCACTGTTCAATATGCTTGTTCATTGTTCAAAAGTCGTTTGTGTTTTTACAATTGATCGTCCATTGTTCTACGGAAATATTTGTAAGAATGCGAATAATGCATTTTGAGGGTATATTTTTTTGTAATTCTTACGAATATAACGCACCCAAAATTATCATGTTTGTAACGCGCGGCGTCAGACATTATACCAAGACGTTAATACCAGTCAGCAAATATTTGGCGCGGCTCTATTAATTTGCCGCGCGTTGGATATTTTGACAACATAACATCAGGAACGATCATGTCACTTACCACTTTATTATTGTAGCATGGGAAAAAGTGAGATACCTGATAGATGGGACAAGTTTAGTCCTTTCAACAAAACTGTCCGTGGTACATGTCTTCTGGCCCACAAGACGCCGCTTCAGACATCTTTCAACCGCAATCTTACACCCACCGATCTTGTTCAATCACTCAAGGTTCGTAACAGCATTTTGCTTATCATCATTCCTTAAATTATTAGTTTATACATCGTAGGGGATTTACTTTTCACTTCTACGATGTTGCTTTGATGGTTTAGACAACAGTTTCTGAAAATATATTAATCTAATACACCCTGTTTTAGGATAGAGGGATGAACCTTAAACTCGTCATTGATCTCTCAAACACAGACAGATATTACGCCCCAAACGTGAGTTATTTCAAATACTCTGTATTTTGTGGAGGGGGTGGAGGATGATTCGCTCAAGTTTCTTGAATTTACTTAAAGAATTTAATTCACATTGTGAAATAATCAAGTGAATAATCCATATCAATGGAAAGTCCTTGGTTCCAATTACTGTAGGACAGGGTAATTTTGTAAAACAGGTAGACCAAAACGGTTGATGTGGCCGGTTTTTTTGTCTGAATCTATCAGGATTTGCAGCTTCTATAATCAGTAGAACTTCACTCTAAGTATAAATTAGCCTTCATTAAACTGAGATATTTTGATATTGTGATAGATAGTAGATACCAGTTGATTCTTCTCAAATTATGTATTTCTGAACATTCATCACAATTCTGGTTTTCAGCCCCACCATTACTAACCAATGATATTATTTGCAGGAATTTGTACACCTAGGAGTTGCCCACATCAAGGTACCATGCACCCATGACAAGATCCCTTCACAAGACCAAGTAGACCGATTTAAGGAGCTGGTCTCGTCTTTTCAGCAGCGCGGATCCACCGTCATCGGAGTGCACTGCTCCTACGGCGTCAACTGCACGGGTTACATGATCGCGCGCTACCTCATAGAAACTCTAGGGTGGAGTGCAGAAGATGCTATTAACGAGGTGGACCTCGCGCGCGGACACACAATGGAGCGTATCACCCTCATAGAGGACTTACTGAACAGAACTAAGAACTTGTCGCGCAAGCGGAAGAAGTTGTACCGCAGCACGCTGCCTCTTACCAATGTTCGGAATAAGGTTTGCAATTGCATGGGACCTCAGCAGTCCCACCTGGAGGAAATAATGTTCAACTAGTGGCGGGCTCTGCTGGACAATCCAACCGGCTTTCAATCATCTGATACATAGACATGTGAGAGGAGATGACACGTGTGGAGATGACACGTGTGTTACTGACTGTGTCGACAACATTCGGCCCTGTGTAGTTCTTTAGTTGTATACTTAGTTTAAACTATATGATGTGACAGGGTTTACTTTTCTGACTGATGTTATAACGATGTAACATTTGGGTTAGAATTTACCATAAACATATATTTTTATCGATATTGTACGTCGTTTAATTCGAGAATTGAAGACAAATGATGAAAATTTAAGTTATTTCTATTAATCGTTTTTACTATTGAATATAAACTGTAGCTGAAATAACGTCCTGTTCCCATGATGTTGCACTTAAATTACCGCAATAATTACTGATTAGGGAGTCTAATATCAAGGAAAAGAAAAATTATAACTGTAATTGCTCATAAATACTGTTCATTTTTTAAACACCATATTGAAAATAATCACGCATACTTTGAAAATGAAAGTATCTGAACGATGATTAATTTTGGGTTATATAATCATTATTGCTTGTTTTAGAGTTCTAACTTATCAACTAAACACATAGATCGATCATTCACTACACATGACTAGCCATAGTTGGTCTTGACCATTAGAACCAGACGGAATGTGAGGCATTTTACACTTCTCATGTAAAATATCTTCCACCGAAAGTGCTGACAGCACAACACCAAAACTGGTTTCGTTTACGCTATCATGTTTTAAATAGTAGGGATTTTTTCACCGCGTGGGCGAATTAAAATTTTACCTAGGACACTGTAATTTGCATGTGATTAAACGTACAAAAAGGACTATAAACGAGGTTATCGTGTTATTTACATTAAATTTCAATGATATTTACTCTGTTACTCTTGAAAAAAAGTACACATTTTAACCTGCGACTTCTGTTATTACCAAAACACTATAACGACGATTTATGGTGCTAATCATACTATTTCGAATATCAAAACTCAAGATTTTCCAATAGTTCGCATTGCGATTGACCTGTTTCACTAGTTTCTCAGCTTTTGCTGCTTGTAAACCTAAATTTCTGTTCAAGCTCTCTATAAATTTTTCAAATTAAGCCCAACATTAGATTCTTAAATTAACAAGTATTACTTTATAACCACCACCAATTACATTCAGCAATCTCTAGTTATGTAACCCGTTTCCCGTGACAATCTCTGTAAAAAGTATGGGCTGTCCGAAAGGTTGGGTGGACTACGAGCCAATCGGGAAGGTTATCCCCAGTACTAGGATAGTGGCCTTCAAGACTCCCCTCAAACGGGAACTGCACAGTGAGACGAGCAGAGACTCCACTAAAGACAGGTTATTATTGTTTTCTTCATTTACCATTTTATGAAGGCAAGTAGGTACAATGTTAGAGGGCTATTAGAGGGCTATTAGCACTCTAACAGCTGGTGGGTATTGTACATACTTACCTCGTATGAGCATTACATAACCTTATCTGCATTCTTAACTTCTGAAAATTCTTAAGTCTACAGTCAACCCAGAGTTGTCATGTTTTACCTCCCTTCAAATACAAATCACTATCAGATTCACACCACAAGACTGCATGCAGGCAGTGAAAAGATGTTCTAACGGCCGCAAGAGACTCGGTCTGGTCCTCAACCTAACATTCACAACCAAATACTACAATCCCGGCGATTTCGAGCGGTACGGAGTCCACTACGGAGCCATCATGTGTCCGGGTCACGAGATTCCGAATGAGGAGCTGTTCCATCAGTTCCAGAGGAGTTTGTACAGTTTCTTCTACGATTACCCTGACAGGAATATGGTGGTTGGTGTTCATTGTACTCATGGCATCAACAGGACCGGCTACATGATCGCTAGGTAGTAAATATTATTTTATATTGAACTCAGTACTTTAAAATCTAACTCCGTATTCTAAACTATAACTAATCTACACTCTAACTGGCTCTCTAAACTCTAACACTTCTTCAGGTTTCTGATCCAGTGTGAAGGGTGGGATGTGGAAGAGGCTATCACCACAGTTGGAGATGCCCGGGGACACCCCATAGAGCGTGATAACTACATTGCACATCTCAATAACCTTCACCAGCCTAGTTACCTGTTTCCCAAGATACCCACCGCTAAGGACATCCAGGAGAAGGAGAAGAAGCAAAAGAAACGGGATTCTTCAGACATGAAAAGGAATGGCGACGACTCAGAATGCGCTTCTAAAGGTTTGAATCTTCTGTTTTTATAGATGTCATTTTATTTTCCAATAACTCTCGAATTAATACGAGTTATTACGACTAGCCCCAGATTAAAAAGTCTAAAAAAGTAACTAAATTCAAGTTTAAAGTTAATACTTAAAATGTTCAGTAGAGAGTGAAAACGCGACGAATATTCACAACGACTCCTTGAATCAGACTACTTGTAGTAATGACTATCAGAACAACAGCGGGGAGAATAATCACATACTGTATTCAACAAATAGTCAAAATAATACTGTCACTGAAAGTGAAAGTGATGAACGAACTCATTTCAATAAAGAAAGTGAAAGTAATAACTGGAGAGAACTGATAAGGTAGTTGATTCAAAAACGATACTTTTATCAGACGAGGATGAAACTTTTATTCCTCTTAATGGCAGACATTCCGATTCTGGGGCGGAACCCAGCTCCAAGAAATGGAGAACCAGATAAAAAGCAAAGAATTGCTGCGTCCTGGCCCTCTAATGCGTCCTGGCCCTCTATGGTCGTTGATAATAATTTTACATTTTCCCTTTTAAGCGTAATGATATAATATTGGCTCATTCGTCATACAACTTGTAATGAAGTTATTCTATTTTAGCTTTCAGCATGACATATTTTTAAATTTCACTGCTTTTGGAATTATTTAGAATCAACTGTTATGCTTATTAAACTTTTGTATGTTAAGAATTCACAAGGTTTCTAAGTTTTATTGCAAATGTAATTATGCGGACTTTTAGTTATTTCAATGATGATTTAAACAATAGCTGATGATCAGAGAATAGTGAAAGAGAAACTAAAAGTAACAATATGACAATACTTTTAGTAAAATGGTGAAAGAGAATGCGAAAGGAGCGAAGGATATCGTGATTGGTAACGCGGCTACCCTCAACTTTTACCGTAAAATGATAACAGGTATGTAAGTTTGAGAATCTATGATCATGATAATTCAGCGTTATTTTCAGCAATTCTTCAATAAAATGCTACTTTGTCCTGCAAGAACCAAACCAAGAGTAATTATTAATTAGTCATCATTAATTATTAATTAGTAATTATTTCAGTGACAGTGATCCTGTACGCAGTGGTGAGATGGAGTTTTGGTTTCACCTGGACACAAATCATCCTTTCCTTAATCTCCGGAGTTAGCTTGTCTATGTTATACGGGTACGTTCTCCTGGAAAATAACAAAAATGTGTAAATCATTCTGGAAGGAAAATGGGCACATTATTTGAGCAGTGCCACTATTTCACGGTACATTTAGTAAATATATCGTCCATCTATAGTTAGTTTTCCAAAGAGGTATAAAATTCTTGTTTTATGAACTAATTTCGTCCAATATCCCCAGGTCTATGAACAGTGCAGCGAAAGGGGGCACAGATCTGAATATGGACGGTGGTGTCACCGACTACTTTAAAGATATAATCATTGTGACCTGTGTTGTCATGATTTTATCACTCATATCTGACTACTTCTGGTTAGTGACTCAATGTCTGCCGTTTTGATATTTACAGTATAAAGACTACTTTACAATCCAACTCATTTGATCGTCAGACTATCATACGATAACTATTTTAAATTGACTAACATAATCTGTCACAACGTAACTCGCAGGTATGGTTGGCTAATAATCCCAGGATTTGCTCTTGTTAAACTCTGGACTTCTGTTATATCACCCTGGATATTCGCACCTGCCCCTGAAGCACCCGAGGTTTGTTATTGGAGGGGGATAAAGCTAGATCTCTTTAAAGCTATGCTTCTCTGTTATAATTTCTGTTTTCGTATCAATTGGAAATCTCCCCTCAGCAGTCTGAATGTTATCTTCGTGCTCAAATATAACCCGAATCATCTATTGAACTCATCTTTGCTCCTTATGATAATTTATCAAAACCTCTTCTTTCACCCCATTCTGACTCGTTATTTACAGGGTGATATGCAGCAAGATGGTTTCAAGAAGGGACAGAGACAAACAAAACAAAAGAAACAGTCCAACTACAACTCTAACTCAAATCATGGCATGTTTTCAAGTTACCGATAACTTTATTTATTTATTAAATAAAATAAAGTTTATTTAGGCTACATTATTAGTCGATGTTTAAATTGTAACGATGGTTTCAGATTTGGTTTAAGTATACTACTATTCGGGGTTGTTACTTTTGCACTATTAGATGAGATAATTCGGGTTGCTGATTATAACAGTAAACATTCTTATGTTCATAAATGTGTATTCTTATTTGAAGCTACTACTGTGTTTTGATCTTAAGATGACGAAATTACAAAATTTGCAACAATTTTTTCGGTGTTTTCGTTCTGTTTGATCTTTAATTTAAGAATGTATATCTTTAATGACATTATTGATGTAATTTTATTCTATCTAATTTTAAGAAGGTTGCCTGGACTGTTTGAACTGCATAGAATAAATAAAATTAATTAGGGACGACAGCAATTTTCAGAATGAAATATTTTTAATTACCTTTATTTTACTATTTATATTTTATAATTTAATAATTATAGGATGAGGTAAACCCTTAAAGACGTCCGCACTGTAAGCTCCGCAACTATCCAAACCAGGATAAATACCTAAACCCTAACCACAAAACTCGCAAATCTTCTACACCATCCTCAACAACTCATCCTCCTCAACGCTTAGTATCTGTAACACCTGATCCCTCACTCCTCAGTTAATTGTAGCTATAATACCTGACCCCTTCTTCATTGCTTGTTCCAGCTCATTCCTCATCCCTACAATCAGAAACATCGCAACTCTAGTTATCTATACTAACAGTTGATAAAGCAAATAGTGAAATAGTGAAATAGTGAAATAGTGGTAAAGCAAGTGGTGAAATATTGATCAAATAGTGGTAAAGCAAGTAACAAGTGGTAAAGTACCATGCCGGCCTGTAAGAACTGTGGCAGCACACAGGTGGATGAGGATGGAGCTCACGGTTACACGATATGTATGGGATGTGGAAATGTTCTCGAGGACCAGGTAACTCTTATTGAAGAAATTGTAATCTCTTCTAGAGACAGGCCTCGGGGCTGGATTGTCTGGTCTGTGAACGTATTTTAACATGATTTAATGTTATATAACTTATGTCTTATATAATAATATTTAATATTTTATTGGAATGTCAGAAATCCCACACCTCATCACGTGATTACCCACCAGATTATAGTGTCAGAGACCCAGTTTGCTGAGGGAGGATCCGGCAGGAAACACATGATGGGAGCCTTGGTAACGGACGATGGCAGTATTATTGGAGGCAGCGCCTTGCCTAACAAATTCGGTTAGTATTATTGGAGCTTGCCTAACAAATTTGGTAATTGTTCGCAGCTTTTAACCAAAAATTCCAACATGATGTTACTCATTCGTCATCATTAGGCTCAATGAGCGCCGTAGTCACTACAATTTGTGGAATGTGAAATACACCTGTTTCATCTCTTTTCCTCAGGATGCCACAAGAACTACCAGAGGCGTATTGTGGAAGAGGCAACACGTGTTATGCACTGTATAGCAAACAGACTGAAGTTAGCTCAGCAACACATCGACAGTGCTGTTATGTTCTACAAGATGGCTTTAAGGTGGGTTGTTTTAAAATAATCGATACCGAAACGGAAGAGATTCATCATATATACCGAACATTTTAAAATTCTCGTACTTTTCTCTGGGAAGAAGAGTCTCTTAAAATTGGTGTCACTCTTGAACTTATGTACAATGTACATAGATAACAATTTTGTAATATTTTTCAGTAAGCGAATATTACAAGGAAAGAGGAAGTCGCACGTGTGCGCGGCGTGTTTATACATTGTGTGTCGGACGGAACATACTCCACATATTCTACTGGATTTCAGTGAAATAATCAGGGTAAGTTGCTTTTAACTTAAGTTTGTGCATGAGTTTCATTACTGACAAGTTTTAGAATGGACCAGGACTGTATTAGACTGAACTAAACATTAGTCTCCATAACGTGGCACCTATACACACTGTAAGATCATAACCCCCCCCCCCTAAACCCCCCTAAATCCCCTCTCTCTACCTCATAACCCCCCACCCCCCCCCCCCCCCCCCCCCCCCCCCCCCCCCCTAAACCCCCTCTCTCTACCTCTCCAGGAGAACATGTTCCAGCTGCTCCGAGTCTACACTCGTCTCTGTAACGCACTGTGTATCAAGCTCCCTGCAGCTGACCCCTGTCTCTTCATCAGCCGGTACGCTCAGCGTCTCCAGCTCGGAGATAAGAGTGACGTTATCTGTGTCACTGCTATGAGACTGGTCTCTAGGATGAAGAGGGACTGGATGGCTACTGGTATGTCAACTAAAATGGGCCTGGAAATGTTTAACCAGTTGGTCTGGGTACCTATCAGAACGCAGGTTTTCTCTAAGTAAATCATCGCTGGTACAAGCTGTATCTTGTTATTTAAGTGACCACCACTGAGTGCTGAATTATCTCTTGTTCAGGCAGACGGCCAAGTTCTCTGTGTGGAGCGGCTCTTGTAGTTTCCTGTAGACTTCACAACTGTTCACGTCAGATCAGCGACATCGCTAAAATAGTGAGGAATGCCACTGCTACTATAACGAAACGGTAAGTTCCTTTGTTTCGATTATTAGTCTACAGTTCCGATTAATTGTCCATTAGAATTACACTACTCTGGTTGTTAACTCAGTACCAGTTGCTCACGAAACATACATTGTGTATCGAAGACTTGGCATAATTACTCTTTATGTCTTTAGTCTATACAGTGCCGTATACACTATACAGGGCCTCTCTATCTACTGCTTACTAGCCTACTACACTCATTTGTGATCTACACTCTGGTTTATGTAACACTTGGTTTCGTTGTGCAGCAGTTGTTTAAACTAGGGACGAAGAAATCATATCCTTCAATCTTACAATATTTTGTTTTATCACACTTTCGAGCCAAATTTGGCAGGAAAGCAGAATTGATATTGCATGCCCCGATGGGGAGCACTGGCTCTCACCCGGGGGCATGAAATATCAATCAGTTGCTCAGAGAGAGCCCGATATTCCCATATAATAGGAACAAGGAGCCCACTCTCAACAACTGTTCTACTACTGTGAGGTACTGATTTAAATAAAGATTTAAATCAACAACCTTAAGTAGTCTATGACCGTAAATGCAATGATCAGAAAAACTTTCCAAGATAAGGAAAAATTTATATTTATACCTGGTTTTGAAAATATTTCCTTGTGTTTGAGATGCGTCAAGCAAAATAAAATTTTTTGTTGTAAAACTTTTTCAAGCTGTTCCCTTTTTATTGCACTTTATAGTTCAAAGCTTAATTAAGCTTCGGATGATGAAACAAAGTAAAAACTCCCTGGCTTGTACGAGCTTTAAGTGACTTAAGGTTATTGAAAACGAGATCAAAGTTTACAAGCAGACTTGAAAGTTTCACAAAGTTTTGGTACTTGTCAGCGATACAATCAATCAGGATAATTAATTTCCTTAATCGCTTACTTGAAATTAAAAAGGAAGTGTCAGAACAAACTACAGTCACCCTCACAAAAAATAGTAAACACTAGACGATGTTTGATTAATTCGAACGAAGAAAACACACAAAACAAAGCCAGATTTCAGCCATTTCAGACCTCAATTTTAACCCCCTCTGATCCCTTCTTTGAGCCATATTCCATATAGAAATTGTGCAGAAATTATACTTGGCTTTTCCAAACCGGTTTCGCCTAGATTAGCTTGCGAAATTCGTGGCTGATCTATAAACAGACTGATAAAGAGACTTATATGTAGATTCTGTACAATAAAGAGCGGAAATTCTATCCCAGGACTAGTTTTAACTGAATTTTAGTTAGTGCAAATAAGTGCAATAAAAACATCCTATAAAATATATTATTTATATAAATATATCAAGGGACGAATGACGTAACTTAATCAGCTAATCTGGTTATAAATTAGTCTGGGCACTGGGGCAAACAGGTCCGATGATTAATGTGCTGCCATTCATTAGACCAATTCAATATTGGTAACAGTACGGGTGAACTACCTGGCCATGACCAGGGTGGTTATAGGCTGGTGGAGTACTGCGTTCTAAAATGTTGAAGAGATACATTTGAATATTACAAATGTTCTGATAATTTCCAGTTCAGATAATTTCTAGCTCGAAGCAGATAATGGCAAATAATGGCAAGTAAAGATGAATACTGACTAAGAACTAAGCAGAATACTTGATAAAATTCTAAGTCAACGATTACAAGTTGCATTGATTAAATCATTCTGAAATAACAGACAATCGAGAATCAAGACGGACGTTAATATTGTTGATGTAAATTAGGGAGTGTAGTGTATAATGTGGACTGATAAATAGACACTTATTATGACCCCACAGCTCTATTCAAATACAAGAACTAGGAAATTCTTTCACCTCATCGTAGATACAGATTATACGATAAGGACTGTGATGTATAATCAACACTTAAACGGATGTTCTATACATTATACTGCATCTACAGTTTTAATGACTCTAAAAATATCTAATAGAAATAAAGTATTAGAATCACCTCACATCAATTGATTTGCAGGATGTAATTACGTATCAAACGCGCTCGCGGCGGAATATTCTAGACTCATAAGTACAAGACCCATAGGCGGAAAACACATTAATATTGCATGCACTAGGTAGCAGTACAAAGCAAATTCAGCGCGGCACACAGCATTCACTGTGTCATAAATGTGAAACGCGAGATTCTAATTTCACGTATTGTAACTTTAATATCTGAAATACTAACTTATCGAGAGCTATATATAGCTTGGACATTATAAACATAAATAAGTTCGACATGTCTAGTTTTGCTTTGGTGAGATTTATAACTAACGTTTGATCAAATTCTGCTTTCCCGGCCAAATTTGGCTCCAAAGAAAGTGTGATAAAACATTAATCACATGCCTTCTCATGCGATATCAACATTTTCAAAACTCGGCAAGCCTCGTGATTGAAAATGTCGATATAACCCTCGGCAAGCCTCGGGAAATATCGAAACTTTCACTAACTCGGCAAGCCTCGTGGGCGAAAGTTTTGATATCGCATGAGAAGGCATGTGATAAATGTATAATATTCGTACTCTGGTCGTATTTTGAACAGCGAAAATATCACTGTATCATGCTATCACATTGTCAAGGCCCCTAAACGTTTACCCAATTCGTTGGGTAAATAAATCACCTGAATGTAATTCGTTCCACTTCCAGATTAGATTGCTGCACAATGAAAGAATATTTCAATAACGGTGAAAAGATTTACTACTCGTTCCTTCGCGATTTTATGATTGGGCGACATCTCTCCGATTCAGAGAGGTTATTCGGACAATAGTTTATGTCGGATCCTATCCTTGAAACTTTCCATAAGGTATGGTCAATGGTGGTTATAGGACGAATAATCTGTGTAAGTTTGAGCGAGCTTCTATTTGCCAAATCTAAGATATGATATTGATATTATAATAATTAAAATTATTAAACACAAAAAATATCTCCAATTGGGTGGTTTGCAGCGGTTCCAAAAAATATATCTGGAGATCCAACGATACGATTTTCTTGAAACTTTCTAGATAGTAAGATAGCATTAAGACAAATAATTTGTGCAAGTTTGGGTAAATTTCTAGGTGCCAAATTTGAGATATCACTTCAAACACAAGAACATAGTGCTGTCGGACAGATGTCGCTGTCGGACAGATGTCATGTTACCCGATTTTATTACCTCATGAGACAAACATTATTATATATAAAATGCTGAGGAAAATGTATTTTCTCTTTCTTATTTTTTTCTCTTATTTTTTTCTCTTATTTTTTCCCACTTATTTTCTCTTTCTTATCTTCTCAGTTCGTTATATATAGGACCTATATAAAGACGGTTCACTTTGGCGAAGGCTTCAGAATCTTTAATTTTGACCATTTTAAAGGCTTCACCGTCTTTAACTCATCGCAACCCGTCTTTAGATTTGCTGGTAGAAGTGAGGTCAGTGTGTGAAATGTGCTTTATTACATCCGATCTATTTTGAGCCCAATTTTGAAGCGTTGCCGTCTTTAATTATTTTTATTTGAAGGCTTTGTCTTTATGAAGTGCGTCTTTATAAAACAAACTGAGTGTATGTCTTTAGTCTCACACGTATCTTCTTCTATTTCGTTTCAAACCTACCTTTTAAAAATATCATTATCACATTTTGGTATCATATAGTCGAATTTACTAAACTTGTATCCAACTCGTTCGATTAAAAAAGTATTCAATTAAATATTCAATCAATTAAATATTCGATTAAACGTAATTCTTAGGGGATTAGATACCGGAAGATGGAAGAATATCTTAAAAAAGGACAAGATATTTACAAAACGTATTGTTCGTCAACAGAAACACGCCCAATCATGCTACCTAAAGCTCCACAACACACGTATATTGACATCTACCCAGACGAAGATGAGCCTGGACCGAGTTTTAGAGATGATAAAAAACGTCAATCAGACTATGAGACTGAAGTTTTAATTTTTAGAACATTGGAGGGGTCAAAGGAAGACATTATCGTTCTACACAATTTCGAACATACTCATCATCAATATCGCTTGTGCGATAAAAGTCATGTTATGAAAGGGTGTGTGGCTTGCCGAAAAACTCCCAACAATCGCGAGGGAGAATGCGATTTTTTGATCATTGGAAAAAACTATTTTGTCATCATTGAAGTTAAGAGTAAGTCGTGTTTCAGTGAAGAATCACAGCAAAATCCAGCATTAACTAAACAACAACATAAGGCAGGATTGCAGAAATCCCACAAGGAATCGATGACACAGAGGAAAAGAATGGTAGATTTGATCAGAAGTATAGAGAGGCACGCAAATATCTTTTCCTTTACTGCTTATCCTAACTTCTCGAAGAAATCATGCGCTGAATTCGATTTGAAACCTGGTCAGCTATCATCGATTATATTCAAAGAAGATACAGAAGATTTCGTATCATGGTGGAACAACAATGTTTCAGGGTTTTACATAGATCCATCGGATCAGTCTGTTGCACGAAACTGTGATTTTCGTGCAAAACATGAGAAAGTCAGGAACATGCTGCTTGCTATTTGGTGTACAGACAATAAGGGCCATTGTGATAAATCCAGATGCAGTTTAGGATGGTGTATCAAGGATATTGATGATAAACTGCGCAGTGGAAAGTTTACTTTTGAAAGTTTGAAAAGGAAGAAAAATCCAAACGTAGTTCCAGCCCCAGATGTCATAAGGGACTACCTAAAAGTGAACAACCTCACTAAAGAACAGTTTGATGCGTACAATTCGAAGGAACAGTTAGTTCTCATTAAAGGGCCTGCAGGAACGGGTAAAAGTATCATACTCATTGCTAAAGCAATACAACTTGCAAAGTCGGATGAAAAAAGAAAAATAATTTTTTTCCGTTCAGACACCCCTGCTAAGTGGGTTAAAACTGCTTTTGAAAGAGCAAGCATAAGCAATTATACACTTTCCCTTCCGGACACTGCCCTTTGGACTGAGTTGCAAATTTGTGAGATGATATCTCACAAATTGATTAACAATCAAGCAATTATAATCACCTATCTGGCTTCTATGATGTTTGAAGCAGAAGCGAATCTAGATGTTGACCAACTATTTTCAGAAATACTAACTTCACATCATGATTGTGATTTGTTTGTTGACGATCTACAAGTTGTGTTACAGATCGATGAGAACGATGATGATAAAACCATAAAGGTGTTTGGTTCTTTGTTGTTAAAGGATCAGAACAATCGTCATATCTGGATAAGTTGTGACATTGCACAGAGTGTATTTCTGCACGTACGTGACTTTATACTACCATTATATTCCTCCTTTCATATAATTACTCTATCAAAGAATTTGAGAAACACCTACGAAATATCGAAAAGTTTATCAGTGATAAGGGACCGCATAAAAGAATACACAGTGAGATCAGGAAGAGGCACCTATGGCAGCATGGTTCAACAAACACCAGGTCATTTCATCCGAGGACCGAAAATCGACATTCATGTTTTTAAGAACGATCATTCAGATACGATATCTAATTACCTAGAGAAAGCATTAGGCAAGCTGTATCGGGAAAATGTTTTGGGACAGTGCGATACAGCTGTACTTTTCCATGTGATTTCGCCAGCCAGAAACGATACGCTAGATAGATTGGCAGAAAAACAAATAGCAAAATATAGGTGTGAAGGAACTGCTGATACTTTATCCTTGCGTGGTAGCTCACTCACTTCTTCATGCGAATGGCCAGCTGTTATAGCAATACATGAATTCGCGGAATTTACCCTCCCCTCCCTATACTTAACTTTGTCTCGAGCTAGAGTGTACTGTTCAGTTTTGCTATTTCCAGGCTTTACTTCAACGCTAGAAGATATCGAACATTTCTTATCAGATGATTTCAAACGCTATGCTAATATCATACGATATTAACAATGACTTTGTACAAATCAAATGTATTCGATTGTTAATTTCAGGTGCACATTTAATTGGTCGTTCACATAAATTACGTTATCACTTTTTAAACAATTTTTAACCCCCTCCCCTTCCGTAATCAGTTTTACACATAGCTATTAGTATTGTGTCAAAATTACACTAACTTGTAATCATTTGGAAACCCCCCTCCCCCTTGGCTGATTACGTAATATGTGAACGACCCCTAACTCACAGATATATGTATATAAATTATAATGTATATATCTTGATTTCAATAAGAATTGAGCTTCTTTGCTTTATTGTATACCTACTGCAGTATATATTAAAATTGTGCTAAATGTCACCAAAATGGTTAAGGAAAACATATAATTCTCACTAAACTTCAGATACCTCTACTTACACGTGATTACTGATTATGAATAAATACACCTCCAATCACTGTGTTAGTACGGCCGTAATATTTTCACTTCCAACAGTATTTTGTAAGTTCAATATTCTCAGATTGAAGGAGTTTTCGGAGACTCCCAGTAGTAAACTGAGTATTGAGGAATTTGAGAATGTTGACCTGGGAGAAGAGGAAGATCCTCCCGCTTTTAAAGCTCTCAAAATCAAAAACAAATCCAGAGAGGTATGTAGTGAATAGAAACCCGATGTGATGATGAATGTCAAGAGTGCAGACAGTCTGATAAATATAATTGGTGTGCTTTTAATTTAGATTCTTATCACGTCTTTTTACAATTTAGCAACTAAAAACTCCTGGTATTGATGTTAAATTGAAAACAAAATGTTTACCCATATTATACCATTCTATCCCCTTTATAATCAAATTAACCTTCTACCAGTCTGATCTATCTCTGGTGGAACGAGAAGTTTGTCAATACCAGAAAGAGTTGGAACAGGAGATTAAAGTCCAGGGTACGGTTAAAGGTGACGAGGGAGCTGAAGTAGACTCCTCTTCTCTTTACAAACCCCCTCCTTTTATGGAGAAGACTCCTAGCTGTAGCACTTCTGGTTAGTTGGAGTGGAACTGTTTACACTTTGTGGTGATGATTATTCATACCTCGTTCTGGGTGCATACTTGAACATTTGATTTGTTGACACACTGAACTCCGGGCCAGATAATCCATTAAAAGCTGACAATCTCTGTTGAAATGTGAGAATATGAGAATGTGAGAGACCTAACTCCTCAGGTCCGGAATCAGGAGCACAAGGTCAAGGTATCAGAACAGCCTACGGTGTGATTCCTAACTACCTGGACGGAGAGGGAGCTGAGAAAAGAGATGCTAATCCTCCTAGCGAGAAGGAAACTGTGTCTGCAGCACAGGATGAAGTGAAGAAGGAGGCTAAAATTAAACTAGAAATGGAGGAAACCGTAAGTTCGTCTTTAAACACGGTTTTAAACTAGATTTGGCTTTATAAATCGAATAGCGTAAATTTGTTTATTTTGAAACTTCACTTGCTATTAAGAAGTAACTATTTTTTAAACTCAGGGATTTTCCGATGTGGATGACGCTGAGATTGAATATCTAATATTAACTCCAAAGGAAATCGAAATAAAGAAGAGACGGTATGTTGATGATGATTTAAAATATTTTATAGTCTTTAAATCAAGAGAAACGATGTTGCGTCATTGGTTTGAAATTTGAAACGTTTTGTTTCTCTCTCCAAAGACATCCCTTTATTTCAGTTGGGCTGAGTCGGATCTGGATGAGTTTTTAGAAGAGAAAGAACGGAAGAAAAGGGAGAAGGAGGAAGAAGAGAAGAGAAGGCCTAAACGGAAATACCGACGAGTACAGCGAGCTCTAAATGCGAACAAGGGAACTGCTAAAACTCCTGCAGAAGCGATGGAGAGAATGATCAAGGAGAAAAAGCTCTCTACTAAGGTAAGAATGATAACATAATTGTGGGAATGTATACACGCATAAATCAGTGATGAAAGCAAAAATGTTTTCACAGCGTGTAATCTGACTGTAAATTGTACTGTTTTCAAACATAAAAGTTGTCGCGAAACAAGATATACTTTACAATCTAACTATTTCAGATAAATTATGACGTGCTGAAGAAGCTAGGTAGTGAATGTGACGCTACGATAGATCGAATAAGGAGGGATACGGAAACAGATACCACCGATACCAAAAAAGAAAGGTAACTACAATGTTTTGAAAAACCTTCATATCCGAGAAGCATCGTCACTTGTGGCAAAAATCATAATTTCAGTAGAAAATCAATAATCATGAGTTCACATTGTGGATCAGCAATTTCGCCCCTCACTATAATACTATAATACCTCCGCTACTGAATGTATTATAACTAATATAATACTAGCTCAATACTCGCAGCATCTCTCTAACCTCAATACCCACACCCACTGTATACACGATTCTCAGGTTAGATAGTGTAGTATCAGATAGAACACGACACGACACAGCAGAGTCTCAGGTAGATGACAGGATGCTGGTTGAAGAGGACTACGCTGCAGATCACGAAGAGGATGATTACTTCAACTACTCTGAAAACTTAGCCCTGAATGATGCTCTCCACGATTATTGTTAGTTGCAGGGAATATTCATATTGATATATTACGTAAACTGGATATTAGACATTTTAGACCCCATTCTCCTCCTGTCCTACAAAAGCCACTTTACACATATTTTGTATCTAGAACTACAATAAGGTAAGTATTTCTAAACCCCGTCCTGTCTTGACCGATAATAGATCTGGATACTGGTCGGTAGGTGAACCAGTAGTTAAGGGGACATACACCAAAAGCTTTTATGCCGTGGCCCTGTTGTTAACTTCATATTAAGAAAGTATGCATAAAAACAATAAGATTTGATACATTACAAATTATTTTTGAGTATACGCACATTCGAAAACAAAATTATTTTATTTTTCCAAAGTTTTGGAAATTTTGAGAAGTCTGTCACTGTAATACCGATATTTCAGTCATTTTAAACGTTTTTTGACTGATTTATTTACTGAACATTACTTACAATCCGTGCAAGAAGCCATTGAAAGGATTATATAATTGAACAATAAATGACAAAGTTACAGGACAAACAAGGTCGAAAAAAGAAAAATTGAAATTTTTGCCTACTTCTAAAGTTGTACATTTCACCAATCACCCGGGTCAGCAGATATTGCTTCAAAAATTCTTGTGAGTGTAGCTGATGATCATATCAAAGTTTTTGGAGTAGGATTTCTCTCAGATTTGAGTTTTAAGGTATGAAATGTGGCCTCAAACGACTTAGTAAAATTCATCGTGAAAAAGGTACTAAAAGATTCGTCTTATCAAGCTGATTACGATTCTGTAAAAATTATTCCAAAAAAGCTGATACTTTTTGAGTTATAGGCATTTTAAGCCTTAAATCTGCCATGTTTTGCCCTTTGGAAAATAAGAAAATAATTTTGTTTTCGAATGTGCGTATACTCAAAAATAATTTGTAATGTATCAAATCTTATTGTTTTTATGTATACTTTCTTAATATGAAGTTAACAACAGGGCCACGGCATAAAAGCCTTTGGTGTATGTCCCCTTAATACACCTGTAGTACTACACCTGTATCTGTTGTGTATTTTTACTGGTCCAGATTCCAGATCTATATCTCAACGATCTCTTATCGTTTTGAGTTCCATTTTAATTTTAATTTTTGCTCTTTATACCTCTTAGTCTTAATGATCCTTTAATTTGCAAATCTTTCAGCCGCTGATGATCTTGAAGATGAGTGAGGCAATTGCTGAAGTTCAGTCCAAAGATGGGATTCGTAAACTAATGAACTTACAAGTTTCACTGTATATTGTGAAAAGTGAATGCATATAAATCGTAAATTAGTCGTGATAACAGTAGAGAAACAATGATTGACTAACAGCAGCTAATTGTACGTTTTATTTGCACAGTTTCTACATTCTAGAGGATCAGTTTCAAATTCGATGAAAGTACTTTATTTTCTAAATTTTTATCTTGGATTCAGAATATCATCGGTGTTGGATTTTATTGTGATTCATGAAATGTTGTATACGTGATTCGTTGTATTTGTTTATTTTTAAAACAAGAACATGAGTTTTCATTTTCGAAAGATTAAAATGGACAAAGATAATTTGAAAATAATCAGACTGTTGTATTGAACAGAGGTTTTCAGCGCGATGCAATTACAATATTTGTTTCAAATCGTCGACGAGTTACTATATATACGCTCGCGCGGCCGTCGCGTTGTATTAATTCTATCATACTTACTGCATACTGCATGGGCGGCGCTCAGCCTGTAATTTATGAACTTGACCATTGTTAATGATCTGGCCCGGCGCGCGCTACTTTGTAGCTCGTGCCATTCGAGAAGAAAGCGGCGCGCGCTACTTCAAAGAAATTTAGACGAGTAACATCCGTCAATTTATGAACATAATAGCCTGGGGTCTGCAGTACAGGTAAGATCATACTTGTAGCGCAATGCACTACTGGGCCGCGCCGCGCATCAAATAATTCTTCTCGCAACCACAGCAGATCTGAGATCGGCGAGATGCACCACTGGGCTTCACCGAGCTGCGAAGGATTGACATAGTGAATCAAAATCATACACGCACGTTGCACAACCCTTCATTTTCGGCTCGCCTCATATATTACCTGGGGACCTTTTGTAGGTTTATTATAACCTACCAGGACGCGCGCCGATTTGGACTCGTCGACGGTAATATTTGAAACAAATATTTTACGAGTATCAGTTCGCAGTTATCACCTGTCAACCCAGTAAGTGAGAACTTGCCTTGGAAGAGCCTCAGGCAGCCCTATCAAGTTATGCCAAAGCCCTCTGCCCTCTGTCATCGGTGGACCTTTGTGATGTGTACCATCCAATACACTAAAAACCTTTTCATCCCATTAGAGAAGTGTATAACCAATAACTTTGTATCACGTTGCGACCTTGTAGCGAGATGCGCTACTGTGCCGCGCCGAGCTGCCATGAATTGACATCGTCAATTAAGTTGCGACCCCCACGGTCGTTTCACTATCGTCCTGCAACGATACAGGGGGAGCCGCGCACTTCGTGCGCGGCGGGTCATACAACGTATGACAACAATAACTATAAGAGAAAAGTTCATTCCGGCAATTATTGGTAGGAACGTGTCCGATCACTTACACAGGAGAATGCGCCACCTGTATAGGATTGTATAAGACTGTCATGTAACTAGTAAGATTTGGGGGGCTTACCCGGCTTGATATTATTGTTGATCCAGTAGAGATCGCGGAGAAGGAATACCAGACGTCACTCAAAATAACATAGGTATGGTGGCCGAGGAGTGTCATTTTCAATTTTTATTTAAACAGCAATTCCGAAAATGAGTCTCCTCGGCCATGGCCGAGCAGTACCAAACAATATTCCGAGAAAATTAACCTCCTCAGCCATGGCCGAGCAGTACCAAACAATATTCCAAAAATGAGTCTCCTCGGCCATGGCCGTCGCCATGATGGCTGATTGACCTCATTTATATTTGCCAGGACAAGGAGACATCCCTGATAAAGTTGGATTAAATTAAGATAAGGGCAGAGTAGACAGCCTCAAGTTAGTTAAAGAATTACGCTTGAGGAAGGAGCTCACTGAGATAATGAGTGAAGTGGATAAGACTACCAGGGAGTCACTGCAGCTGGCACAAGAGTATGGGTCAGGAGCTTGGCTAACATGTCTCCCCATTCAACAACTAGGGTATGCTTACCGAAGTAAGGCAAGACTTCCGAGATGCTATTCATCGATCTCGGCGCAGTTTATATCCCCGCCGAAAGCACACTCCCCAAATTGCGCACATTGCTGCAACTTCTTTCAAACTTCATGAATCGAGATAATTTATTTTTGCAATGTATTCAGAGTTAATATGTGCACTTATACAAATCACTTGGAATACTTTTGAAAAAGAATAACAAGCTCGAAAACGCTACTGACGTATTTCTCCATAACAAGCACAATAGCGTGAGAAGCTTTTGTCGAGGTGCCTCTAAAGTGATTTTAAACGATTCCCCGTTCAATTTTGGTCGAGAAACGCCTACTTAGTGCATAATCAAGGAAGTTATAGTTTTAAACTAATTACAACACTACAAATCTATTACATTTATTGAGAAAATTATGTAATGTAACGCGATGGAAGTATTTTAAGCGGGCATATCCTGTCCAAACCCAGGATACATGACATAAAAGATTCGTTTTCACTTGTTTGCATGAAAAGCATAAATAGACATATTTCATACGTATCAAATTAGATGTGCTTTTGACAGAGATATAACGTGCGCCATTCATCTCCGGTATGGTTGGGATTTCCCTAACACCCCAATATTCTGTGATTGTGGAGCTAATAATGACCACAATCATATCCTCAACTGTAAGAGAGGGAGGTATGTGACCATCATAACAACGTGAGACTTAGTTGCAGAATTACCTTAGGCTGGTGACCAAGGATGTGAGGATTGAGCCCCTGTAAACACCTATAGAATCAAGCCACCTTCCAATAAAAGGGCAACAATGGTGATAAGGCTAGGCTCGATATATCAGCAAGAGGAGTGTGGAGCACATTTTATTTGAGAGGACTTTCTTCCTACATATCAAGGAAAGACCATGCCACAGCCCTACACGCTGCACGAGAATGAGAAAAAGAACTAGTTCATGAACTGAGTGCTACAATTGGAGAAAGGGTCATTCGTCCCCCTTGTATTTACCACTACAGGAGGAATGGCACCTGAGGCCAAGCGTTTCATAAGGAGACTTGCTGTGTTGACAGCCGTAGACTGGATATCCTCAATTTGACAACGCTGGCAGAGCGGCGAATACGTGGGGACCTTATTGAAGCTTTTAAAGTAACTAGTGGTTTGACTGAATATAGATCGGCTTTTTTCAGAATGAGCAGATCTGGTCTTAATCTTGTTTCAACTAATAGATGTAGTAACGGTGTAACTAAAGTCAAGAATCTCCAGTTTTCTTTTCTTCTGGAGCGAGTCATTCCTTATTGAAACAAACTCCCTTCAGATGTCAAGAACTGCTCTACAGTTTTAAGCTTTAAAGTTAGATTGGAAGGATTTAAGAAAGAAATGATTTCTAAAAACAGTGTAAATGATTTTTATTTTTGGAATGTTTTGAATGAAGTTTTAGGGAAAATTGAAGGACCCAGTTATTTAAGCAATAAGGAGAGACATAATGAATATCTTTGGTTTCATCCCTTTGTCGCAAAGAAGCGTTTTATAAATCTTTATTCCACTGGGAAGTATTAATGAATTATTTATAGATAATGTATTAGATTTTATTAATTCATAAAATTGAATTTGATAAACTGTAGACACTGCAGCCATGTGATATGTAACATCAAAACACGCCTGAGTGGCGTAACGAAGGACCCCGCTGTGCGGGGGGGGGGGGGGGGGGGGGGCAATCTTAGGGGGGCGCCAAATCGTCGTTTGAATGTGGGACAATTTCGAAAACTTAACTAAAGTACTAGCAAAACTGTGCGTTTTGCTCTTGATACACACTTTTTTAGAGATTTTACCGGCGTATCCTCTAAAATCACCTAATTTGTTCAATTTTAGGGAGGGGGCACCAACAGGGTGGTGCTTTTTCGGCGGGGGCGCCAACAGGCAACGTTACCCCACTGCCTGAGCATGGATATAATGAGGAGTGTGCAAGTAGCAGTTAGAGGTGTACGTAAGAAGGCAAAATAGGCATGAACCACCCCTATATCGAATGTCTCCTTCAACCTGATACCTGAGGAGAAGAGCTACGAGGGATAGATGATAGTAGTAGTAGTAGTAGTAGGTGACAGAAGCTTCTAAGCTTTCCGTAGTGCCCCCAACCTGCTTTCAGATATAGAGGTCATATATGCAATCAGCTTGCCACCGGGCGTCTCTGGTCGGCGAGCCACCAGTGGCACCTGCGCGTAATAATATGCCATACGGGTAATAGACCCCGGTTTGGCTACTCTGTTATTCAGCGTGAGTGGCCGACCCCACAACGCCGTTGCGCGGCACCGCGCGCACCACAGCTGCCCGCGCACGCTCGCAGACCGCCATGTAGCGGTGCTGACGGAGCACACGCGCGCTCACCGAGGATGCACGCGTCGCACACGCTATGGCAAATAATGGAAAAGAGAATCGCTCTCAGTACTGAGAAGTTGGAACTAAAGGAGCCACCCTAGACTCTTGTCCGGATTGCATCGCAATAGCTCCCATTCGCTCCTCGTTCCCAATCCTGAGAGCGGTAGCTGGTATGAAGAGATTAATGTAAAGGAGATGGGTGATCAGGTTCCTCGTTTCCAGTACTGGAGGGTTGGAACTAAAGGTGCCAGCCCGGACTCTAGTCCAGATTGCATCGCAATAGCCCCTTGTCGTCCCTCGCTTTCGTTCCTGGTAACGGTGTGTGGTTGCTATGGTAACAGTGTGTAGTTGCTATGGTAACGGTGTGTAGTAGCTGTGGTAACAGTGTGTAGTTGCTATGGTATCAGTATGTAGTTGCTATGGTATCAGTGTGTAGTTGCTATGGTAACAGTGTGTAGTAGCCATGGTAGCAGTGTATAGTTGCTATGGTATCAGTATGTAGTTGCTATAATAACAGTGTGTAGTTGCTATGGTAACAGTGTGTAGTAGCAGTGGTAACAGTGTGTAGTTGCTATGGTATCAGTATGTAGTTGCTATGGTAACAGTGTGTAGTTGCTATGGTAACAGTGTGTAGTAGCCGTGGTAACAGTGTGTAGTTGCTATGGTATCAGTATGTAGTTGCTATGGTATCAGTGTGTAGTTGCTATGGTGACAGTGTGTAGCAGCCATGGTAGCAGTGTATAGTTGCCATGGATAGATGATATTTATATTATATTTATTGACTTTAGATTGAAGCTATGCTAAAGAACTATTGTGCACACACCCAAAGAATTGGATCATTTTTTTTTCAAGCAAATTCCTATTTGCAAATTTCTTATTTTACAACCAGTACTAATCTTTAATCTTTGTTTTGAAAGAAGACAGAAACCATCAATAATTTGTGATGTAATATTAAAATATATATCTATTTTAGAATCAGGCATATGACTGGTGCTAAGGCATTGACCAGGCTAAGATCCTCATCTCCCCGTAAAAAGATTCGAAAGAGACATGCTTCTAGGTACTTTTATTATCTTAATTGATTGGATTGATTGATTGATACCTATTATAACCATAACATACGTGCTCTATGATAACACAACTTAATATAATGATTTTTCTGAGATTAGGACAAGATTAAGAATGATAGCTCTCAAATCACTGCAACAGAACATCTTGTAACTTTTTGTAGATTAATATAATATTATATAATACGTTGACGTCAAACAATTTCTGCAGCCCAGAACGTGTTAGACCTGAACACAACAACTCACCGATAAAAAGTAAGTTTTTTCTTACACAGTAATTGAAACATTATATTATTAGTTCTTTAATATGACGGTGTATTTAAATCTGTAATCAATTAATACTTCAATTTGGGCTTAATCTCAGAGAAAAAGAGGTGCATAAAGCCAGTATGGGCCACTTCAACACATTACGATAACGAAGAACACAGTGAATCTGCCGATGATGAGATGTGAGTTAACAAACTGCTTCAATTTTAAACAGCAATTTTTTTTTATAGACTCATCATGACCATGTTTTTAGTTTTAATATCCCTTAGCAATAAGGATAATCCGTAAATTGTGCATCATTAGAATTGGAATAAGAATGGTGAACATTAAAGCAGAGCCCTCACAAGAAGGCAATATTGTTCCTTACATGATTCAACCTATGGCAGACCTTCCTATAAAGACCAAGAAGAGAAAGGGTGACAAAAAACCTGTAAGTATGATCTCTTTGATAAATAATCAATTTACCGTTTGATCGATATTTTGTTGTTAGATGTATCGATGCAGTGACATTACCATTCAAGAATAAAAATGATTATTTGAAACTGAAGATACATTTTAATTTACCCAGGAAAAGGTAGTTGAAAAGCCTCGCTCAGTGATGTTCTCGCCAATAAAGGCACCGGACCCCTCCTCTCCCATTCGAGCCCCATCTCCTCCCACTCTTCCTCCACTCGTACAAACAACCAAAAGAGCTGCTCTAGATATACCTGTTCTAGGCTGTAAGTTCGGACCTGACACCTTGTCAATTGATTATATTGCTGTACGAAATGCATCTACCTATCTTTTAATCTAGTGGAATATTTTTAGTTTTATTGCAGATTGCCAGATAAATCATTGATGTTCTTTCAAATTTCAGAACTATATAATATATGTTTTCCACAGTGAGTACATATCGAATCAATGGAAGAAGGTTGGTGAACCAGGCCATTAACGCTTCTTTAGAGTTTGGATATCGTCTGTTCGACACAGGTGCGCACTACAACAATCAGCGTGACTTGGGGCACGCATTCCGAGAGTACTTGCCCCAACACGGTCTAAACAGAGAGGATATCTACATAATCAGTAAACTTGGTCAGTCTCATTGGTTTGTTTCTCTTAAGCCTTGTGATACATTTTACAGTGGAAAGTTCATCACAGAAATATTTAAATTATTTGCTGTGTAAAGTTTTAGGAGCCTCTCGAATTTCTGCTCAGTAAATGCGTTTATTAGCAACTGAAACGAATGGCAGTGAATAACTATAGGTAGTCGGTGGTAACAATGTTAACCGCATTTAGTAACATAATCCTGTTTATAATGTATATATAATATGTCATATTGTTAAGTTACAATGAGATTGAGTGTAAGTTCACACTTGTAAAATAATTACGTGTAAAACTAGCTACGTAAATCAGGCACTCAACAAATCAACTACCGAGAATTACCTAAGGAACAAGTAAAACTAGACGATTAGCACACTAGTCACTATCAAAAATATGCCACATTTTTCACTGCCCATTCACTGTCATATTGATAGCGCTAGCAGGTGCTGATAAGACATGGGCTCAGTTATTTTTATTTGTTTTAACTTCAAACAGAGCACTATACTGATACAGAGCACTATACTATCGACTCTGCACTGCCCACTGATCGTTAATCCAACACAATAGCTTATAAAACAGTGCGTGTGTATCAAATCAAATTATTCGTCACTATGAACTAATAAATCATGATAACCAAGTTATCAATTTGTAAAGTTTTGGTTTTTTAAAAGAATAAACGATAAAGGTTACATCATAGTTTTCAATTCTCATATTCACGTATATTAAATAAAATTATATTGTTATGTATCATATAATTTTGTAAAAATTGGCCGGTGTACCAAAAACCGGTCCCCAAACAAACAGCAGTCATCTTCTTTTCTCCCCAGATCCAGGCTGCATGTCCTACGAGGATGCTATGGAGTCAGTAGAACGCTCCCTGAACCACCTCCAGACTGACTATTTGGATATTATCTTACTGTACTGGCCTGAGCCTCATCGTGAGTAGAGTTTTTTTAATTGAGAATTTTAAACGTAGTACCTTGCCCCCCCCCCCCCCCTACCTTGTGATGTGTCCGAACATTTTGATAAGTTCTTTATATGGTCACCAAAGCTAGAAGTAAACTGTCTTGGGTGTTCAGTGTGTTTAAGACACGGGATAAAGTGGTTATGATGACCCTCTACAAGTCTCTAGTCAGAAGCTTATTGGAGTACTGTTGTCCGCTGTGGGACCCAGTCAAGACGACAGAGATTCAGCTTTTGGAGGGGGTCCAGCGTACCTTTACAAGCCGCATTGGTGGTCTATACAGCTTAAACTACTGGGAGAGGCTAGCTCATTTGAAGTTAATGTCCCTGCAACGGAGAAGGGAGAGATACATCATCTTGATGATGTGGAAAACGTACCATAACGTTGTTCCAAATAGCTGTAGCATCGAGTTTGTGGAAACATCCAGATATGGCACTAAAGCAGTTGTTCCTTCTCTATCAAAGTCGAGTTCGATGAGAAACCAGACACTGTACGATAGCTCGTTCGCAGTAAAAGGATCCAAACTGTGGAATAAGGTGCCGAGTGAAGTGAAAGCCGATAAAACGTTTGCCAGCTTCAAAGTCAGTTTGTCGAAGTTTCTTGCTTTGATACCGGATAACCCTCCGGTTTCCGGTTATACGTGCAGCTGGTCGAATTCCTTGGTAGACTACACGCCATCACGGTGGTCAGACATCTGATGACCCTTCCTGCTACGAGGATAAACCTTACCAAGTAAGTTATTACGTCGAGATGTGACGTTACCAATTTAACGTAATGTCAATTGTGTTGGAGTTAACCGATTAATCCATTATACAGTCCTCTTTACTAAAGGTAAGTATAGCGGCTAGTCACTATCATAGTAGACAATAGGACTTGTTATTAATTGTTATTATGATAAACAGTGATGTACTGGCAGCAGATGTAAGATCTCTGTCTTAGTTGTTGGTGAGTCAGGTCAGCGACGTCCAGGTGACACTTCATATTGGACTCATCTATAACCATTGTACGACAGAAACATTTGAACTTATTGTTATTACCTGATAATTCTCAACATAGGTCACATTCTGTGGCAATTCATCGATCGCTCTTTGATCGTTTGCAGCTTCAGTTCGTTTCATCACGTGATTATTGATTAAATTCGTAGTCACATTTCTGCAGCTAAGTTAGGTAGATACTTGTATTGGATAAACGCAAAATTGAGAAGAGTCGACTGTTTTTTGTCAGTTTACCCCTTTTTTCAACAAAACAAATGATCTGAAATTAATGCAGAAGTTAGGAAGTCAAGATAAGACTAAAACAAATGTTGACACGTGATCTGAGAGGTAGTAAAACGTGACTCTGAATTCAGTGATACCTCAACTCAGCTTTGGCGACTGATCAGTATTATAGTGCTAATGGTATCACGCGTTACTATTTACGTCATATATATATGACGTAAATAGTAACTTTGATATATATATATTGATATATTATATATATATCAAAGTGGGGATGTAAGCTCCAGGTGCTAATAATAACGGTACAGTTCGAGCTGGTTGTATGATCTTGTTGTAGCTTCTGACTTGGGAGATTGATGACGGAATACGATTGTTGTAATTATTTATCGCATCAGCGAGTTTTAATACTTTCAACACTACTATATATAACAAATAATTTGAGATCATGAATACGATGTTGTCACATTGAAACGTTGAATAATTCCTTTCCTGATAAGAGCCTTTTCCTGGTCGCATCAAACGGGATCAATAGAAATTTACTCGAGAAATCATCAGCGAGTTAGTTATAGCATTCTGTTATTGGATCTAGAGTATTGGATCAGGGCGTTATTTTGAGTTCTAATGTTTACCGTGCCAATTCAGTATAGTATAAACAAGCATGTGACATTATATTTTAGTAATCAAGATTACAACGGTGTTAACGTCTTCAACACCATACTGAGGTCAGTAACGGACTAACTGGTACCAGTTACTGGCCAGCACTGGTAGTGGTACCAGTTACTGGCCAGCACTGGTAGTGGTACCAGTTACTGGCCAGCACTGGTAGTGGTACCAGTTACTGGCCAGCACTGGTAGTGGTACCAGTTACTGGCCAGCACTGGTAGTGGTACCAGTTACTGGCCAGCACTGGTAGTGGTACCAGTTACTGGCCAGCACTGGTAGTGGTACCAGTTACTGGCCAGCACTGGTAGTGGTACCAGTTACTGGCCAGCACTGGTAGTGGTACCAGTTACTGGCCAGCACTGGTAGTGGTACCAGTTACTGGCCAGCACAGGTAGTGGTACCAGTTACTGGCCAGCACTGGTAGTGGTACCAGTTACTGGCCAGCACTGGTAGTGGTACCAGTTACTGGCCAGCACTGGTAGTGGTACCAGTTACTGGCCAGCACTGGTAGTGGTACCAGTTACTGGCCCTGGTAGTGGTACCAGTTACTGGCCAGCACTGGTAGTGGTACCAGTTACTGGCCAGCACTGGTAGTGGTACCAGTTACTGGCCAGCACTGGTAGTGGTACCAGTTACTGGCCCTGGTAGTGGTACCAGTTACTGGCCAGCACTGGTAGTGGTACCAGTTACTGGCCCTGGTAGTGGTACCAGTTTCTGGCACAGTTACTGGCCCTGGTAGTGGTACCAGTTTCTGGCACAGTTACTGGCCCTGGTAGTGGTACCAGTAATTACTGGCACAGTTACTGGCCAGCACTGGTACCACACCTACATAACTACTTGGATATAAAAATTTCAAATATTTAGAATTTAATTAGTGTTGTTAACAGTAGACCATTTCTGTTGCCTGTGCTGTGCTCTGCTAATTTCACCACACGATTCAATTGAATGTATAATTTTCTATATTCGGTAGTGTATTATTGAGTTGCAATCAGTTTTCATTCTATATCTTTACTGAGTTATCATCAAATGTAGCCTGTTACATTACTGCTTCAATCTTCATGGTCGACTGAAGTGAACGATACAGAGCACTTCCTGTTGAATACTGCAACAAGTGGAACAGCAAGCTCTCCTATATCTGTTTTAGTGAACTAATCGCTCTCCAGCCAGAACACTATTGTTCCAGATATCCTAGAGTCTAGACTCGCCCAATTGTAGAGTGTACACCGTGCCGCCAGCTGCACTGTTTTGCTATAGAGTACATTGTTTCGTAGTAGAGCTGTAATCGTTGTGCCCAGACTTGACGTGCCCTGTAACACTCTTAGCCTGGTATTTCTGTATTATGTGTTTAGTTTGCTCATATTGCACCACTGTGTGTTGTATTATGTGTTTAGTTTGCTCATATTGCACTACTGTGTGTTGTAAACATACTTTTTCCTGTAACAGTTGATCTAAAATAAAACTCTAAATTGCAATCAAAATGAAGAGTAGTACCTTGTTAATAACAGTATTACTCTTAAGTCTTATTATTTACATTATTCAAGCCATGGGAAAAGATAATGTTCTCGATTTTGGAGAAGGATCTACCCTGAATCTGGGGCTCGACGAGAACCTACGGATATTTCTGATTGTGCTGACTTCACTGATTATCATCGTTGCTTTGACAGGTATTTTTACCGTAGATAATAAAACGATAAACCTTCTAAAATATCGAAATATTTCGATATATGTTCAAAATTACGAATTTTTTTCAAATGAGAAAGGTTTTAGGTATTATCGAATAATATTCCCTTCCGCTCCCAGGAAATGTGCTGATTCTGTATGGAAGCATATTTCGAGGAGCAGTAAAGATGGAGGCAATAGACCTGACACAGATCTACAGTAACGCAGTGTGTGATATCCTCCTCATGGTACTCTTCTACATCCCCATCCTCATCACCCTCATCAGTAATGAATACACGCTGGGAGACGCCTGGTGTACCTTCACTGCCTACTTTATGCCCATGTCTATTATGATATATATGATCCTGACTAACGCTATTGGAGTTGTGTTCAGAGTGAGTCAGCTGAAGAAGCCTGCCAAAGTAAGAAGTACTGTTCCCATCTCAAGGGTGTACTGGGTCTATCTAGCTTGCGCTGTGGTGGCTACTGCACCTTCCATAGTCTTCTCTGCTTTGGAAAGAAAAGAAGAATACTTCATGTTGGGTAAAGTGTCATGTTCGTTCAGACCGAAACAAAACGACAACGTTCTCAGGGCTATCTGGTGGATCTACACAGTGTTCCTTGTCGCTCTTCCACTTTCTATCCTGGTGTCTGTTAATATCTACGCGGGACGCGTTATCTCCAAAGTGCTAGAGAACAGTAGAACTGCCACTAATGAGCAGAAGTGTCGTGTCAGCCTGGTGATTTCCACAATTTGCTGGAGTTTCCTCCTATCCTATCTCCCTATCATTGTTTTCAACATAATGATGTTATCAGGGTGGGGAGAGAGAGACGATTGGATGGAACCGACCTGGTCCATCATCCCAGTATACTTCCTCTGCATTACGTCCGTGACTACCCCCTCTATTCTGTACATTTCTAATGTGAAGTTCAGAGAGTATGTGAGTGGGTTGGTGAGATGTGAGGGGAGAGAGAATAATCCTTCTAGATGTATACCTGCAACAGAGTGATTGGGGGGGAGAGAGAATAATCCTTCTAGATGTATACCTGCAACAGAGTGATTGGGGGGGAGGGAGAATAATCCTTCTAGATGTATACCTGCAACAGAGTGATTGGGGGGGAGGGAGAATAATCCTTCTAGATGTATACCTGCAACAGAGTGATTGAGATCCTTCTGACTTAAAACCCATTTTCAGTAGCATAGTCATGTCTCAATTTGCTAATATTACGCTTTTAGCACTCAAGTATTTCCTAGGTTCGACCTTGGGTAACAATTTACCCCCACGATGTTTTACTTATATCTTTACCACAACGTCCAACGTTGATATTTTTTGAGTTTTATCTGCACTAAATCATTTTTGTTTTTCTAAAAGATGAAACATCGAGTTTTATTACAGGTTTTTTCTTATCATTGATTGAAATGAACAGCTTTCAA